CCACGATTCAATTATAATCTCCTCTTATCCATTACCTATTGACTTGTAGTGCTGGTAGGCAACCAGGCAACAACATAAAAGAGGAATTCTGGGAATTCTTTTTCATGTTGATTTAGGTTACAAACCTAAGCAGATTTAGCTTTATTAGGGAGTACCAACAGAAGCGAATATGTGTAGCTCAGGGTTGAACTGTGGAGTCCTTGGGGTTCTCTGAGCTGGGGAGTACCAACAGAAGCGAATATGTGTAGCTCAGGGTTGAACTGTGGAGTCCTTGGGGTTCTCTGAGCTGGGGAGTACCAACAGAAGCGAATATGTGTAGCTCAGGGTTGAACTGTGGAGTCCTTGGGGTTCTCTGAGCTGGGTTTTCTTGCAAACGTTTCATTACCCCGCTAGGTAGCATCTTCAGTGCTAGAATGGGATGGGGCTTGCAAACAACCAAGCTCAGAGAACCCCAAGGACTCCACGGTTATTAGGGAGTCTCAGAAACCTCGCTAAGTTCCCCAAGGCTTGATTCAGGAAAAACAAACGGGATTCCATCCTGAAAAGCAGTAAACTCAGAGTAACACGTTTAAGTTTTGCTCCATGTCACTACATTAAGCGTATTAGCCATATTTTTAAGTATATCACATCCTTCGTGTATTTTTCAGAACTCCATGCCATTTTGATTGTAGCATGTACTATACAAATGTGGTACTTAAAAAAAAAAAAAAAAAGCTTAACATTCCTTGGTGTGTTTGGCTTTTTTCTTTTCTTTTCTTGAGGCTTTACACCGACCATAGCAATCTCAGGGGGGAAACTCTAAAATGAGGGGAAGCCTCATGTGAGAATTTCAGTGTAGCAAAAAATCTTTCATTGCTGCAGAAAAGCACATCTCACTGTCAAGGTTGGGTATTCCACATCTAACCCAGGGGGAATTTGGCAACAGAGGAGCACGTTTTATTCTGTGGCTTGATAGATGGTGTGTGAAAAAACCCAACCATTTGATCCAGATTATTAGTGTCCTGTATAGTGTTTCTTAGATACCTCATCCCTAGCGCTAGGGGAGATAAGCCACCTGATTACGAGCTAATTGGCTTCAGTGTAAAACAACAAGGGAAGGATAACAAGGATAACTGATCCCAGAGGCTGCAGAGAAACTGCAATAGCTGTTAGATGGTGACTGGTTGAAAAAAAAATCCCTAGTATGAAATGCTAAAGATGGACATCTTAGTTTAGCAACCCCGTCTTCCACAGGGTAATGGCCCTGAAGTTTTAAAACCATTATGTGCCATTTTACTTGGGGATGGGGATGGGGATGGGAAGGGAGGGGGAAAAAATGGCCTGGCCCAAAATCAGAGGCATTAATTTCAATTGCTCTGTTTTAGGCAGACAGCTAAAAGCTTACAAATGCATGCACCATCTGGATAATTGGGAAACTGATCACAAGTTCCTTTTAGGTACACTATCACTGACCAAATCTAGTTTGCCATCTTAAATTCCCCAAATTATTACAAGTAAAAGGGCTATTATGGCAACTGTCTTTTATTAGTCCGCTTTTTTGGTCCTCTTTGAAGACAGTATTTAACAGGGGAAAAAAAGATTTGATGGATTTCCCTGACTAGTATGTATAGGACCTTAATTGCCCCATTTGCAACATAAAGAAATGTGTGCTTTGGCCATAATGTAAATGTAAATGCTATGAATGATCAATACGCAAAGAAGCAGGAACTGCTGAACAAATGATTTGCAGTATTAACAAGTAAAGCAGGTATTATTTCTCTCAAGGGAAATTATCAAAAAAGGATGAGACAAACAAGTGAGTCATAATGTTGGATAGTCTGCTGGTTAACAACTATAGATCAGAAGAAAATAACTCCAACACATAACTGTGGGTTATTGTTATTTACTGGCCTATAACTTTCATTAAAGAACCAATTCATAAAAGACCAATATTGAATGCCTTTGCTCTCCTTTTCTGGCTGTGTTCAGAGACTGAAAAACCATATGTGAGGAATGCTTTAAGTTTGATTCTTGCTATAAGTAGCAGGTTGAACTGAATAGTCTCAATGATGCCTTTCAACTCTATGATTGTTTAGTTATAAAACAATGGTCATCTATGAATGAGTATGCCTAGGATTGGGTACTTTCTCAGAATATTACATTACAATAACCTTGTTTTCAAACTGAAGATGCATTTTTAATTATGGAGAAGCAGGGGTGTGGTTCCTGTTTGAATGGAAGACATCTAGGGAATACAAGAGATGTAGACTAGATTGAGAAGTCAAAACAACAGACTAGAAAATGGCTATGGCAAACCACTTCTGGGACCGTTACCAATAAAATCATATGAACCTATCCATTATATCATCAGGAGTTGAGTTTGACTTGGAGAATCTGCTGTGGAGATTCATAGGCTGTTCTGTTCCTTATTACTGAGATACAGCAATTGAACTGGATTCCTATCCTAAATGTTCAGTTTCTAAAATATGAACACACTCTCAGGGATAGACAGTATGTTGTTTTACAGATATCTAATTGTCAAATGTTTTTCTTACAGCTGTCATATAGAAGCATGTGATCCTTGATTATTAGAAATTTTGCAACTCTGGAATGCCTATGTACTTCAGGTACAAGCTGGATCTATAACTGCATTCAAGCAAGATTCACAAATGAAAGGATCATGAAATATACCTGCATTCAACCCTTGCATCTCCCAGAATAAGCATTTCCCTATTATTTGTGCTACCACATCTGCTCTTGAGGGCTGTTGCTCATCATGGTTTATTTCAACAAATTCTGCATCATGAAGCATTTTTCTGAACAATTTTCAGTATCACTGAGTGAAAGCAAATTATTCCATTTTGCTTAACAAGCAACATTTTACTACCTGAATGAAGAATTGCTGTCTTAAGTAGTAAATATGAATGCACCGCATTGACACTTTTCCCCAAATTGTATCGAAAGTCTATTACAAAATCTGAATTGCTGGCAGCTGTTAAAGCAGACCAGATATTAATATCACTTTCACTTTCTAAGTGTATTTAAGAGATAGACACTTTTAATTTCTCCCAATAATTCAGGATCTAAAGTTTCTATGAGAAAATGGAAGGGCAGGGGCACAAAAGCACCTGTGACCTTAATGCAAACTAAAAAAGTTTGAGATAATGGAATAAGGTGGATAGAAAATTCAACTTCATACTGCATCATAAAGTTTATCACATACCACCAAGTCTTAGACAAATTTCCCTAACAGAGTAAACATACAGTGAAAGAAAAAGTTTATTTTATGGGTTATGCCAACTAAAAAAAGAACAATATCCCCATATAAAGTAAAAATATACGTAAAACCAAAAGGGGATTTAACAAACAAACTGCAGTGGCTTATAAGGCACTTGCTTATTTTCTGTGCTAGTTATACAGAACAAATTGGGGTTTTATGACCCTCCTTCTTACCAGCTGTTTACTTAAAAAGCATGGTGTGATATTGGCATGTTTATGTACTTACATGCACAGTTACTACCCTTTAATAAGCACATCATAACTCCTAGTAGTTACCTCCAGCTGGCAGTTACATGATATCCCAATGTTTTAACCAGGAGCAGGATTAAACCCAATCAGTAATTGGAAAGGAGGCCACCAGAAAATATCAGAGTAGCAGGCTAGACTGAAAAGTTAAAAAAAAAAAAAAAGGAGGGTAACAATGGCAAGCCCCTTTGGTACTCTTGCCCAGAAAACAACAGGGACGTGTCTATATAATATCCAGAAGTTGAACTGGGCTCAAACAAGATCCTACTTTAGTGGCTGTAGGCTTCCTACTGCACCAAGTCTTTCAGCCCAAGTGGTTGTTTTCTTTTAGAAGAATTCTCACCCCTTTTTCCTTTTGTGGAGTACTTATAATTATTCATAATACATGAATATGTGGAATACTCATAATTATAATGATTCATTCGCAGATCAGGTGGTCTCTCTACGGATTTAGATGCCTTCATGATGGCTGAACTCCCTTTTGGGCTGAGAACTTGCAGGCCAGCGTTTCTAAGCGCCTGAACGAGCAGCATTGCACAAGCTTCAGAGGAAGGGAGGTTTCAAATCTGCTACTGCCAAACCGTGAGACACAAAATGGAAGTCCCCCTCCACCGCCCCCGTTAAGGAAGGAAAGGCTGGAGAGAAGGGTGGGCCTGCTGGATGCTCCTCTCTTGGCCTCGGAGCCGCTGCTACATTTATTTTCTCCTCCTCACCGATCTGTTGTGACAACTGCTCGCTTGCGGGGGGAAGCTGAACTTTTTCTCCCATTCCTCGCCCAGCTTCCTCCTCCTCCGCTTCCAGCCTTTGGGAATCCGCCCGGAGAAGGGAGGGCCCTTGCACAGCCATAACGGCCCCGGAGCCCAGAAATCCCCGTCCCGCCTCTGGGGCCGCCCAGGGGATCTGGGGACTAGGGAACCCAGCTGCCCCTGCGGCGAAGCGAGCGGAGCGAAGAGTCCGGAAAAGAAGCCGGGGCAGCCGTGGTATCATGTCCCGGCTCTTGCCTCCGTCCAAGCACCTACGGAAAAGCGGAGGAGCCAAAGGGAAGCTCCACCGACCACTGCCGTTCGGTCGGCGGAACAGACATGACTCTGCTCCCCGCACGTCGACATTGCGAAAAACTACGACTCCCATCATGCAACGCAGCTGCAGAGTGGGTTCGAAATTAGCTGGAGGACCGAGCCGTGTATTATGACGTTGTTCCGAATGTTTATTGAGAGTGAATAGGATTGGGCCTTTATTTCTGATAGGTGCGGAACGGCTGTTACTCGTGTGAAAAGAATTTCCAGCTATTAGTTCTTTCGCCCTCTCGAGGTTTTCTGTTTTCACTCTCGCAGCTGAGGAGGGAGCTGCTAGAAGCAGAAGTCTCTCTCTCTGCATTCTCTGACTGGTACAGGGCCAAGGCAGAACCAAATTCTTGGTGTGGAGCACCGGCTGCATCTGCATAATATTCTTGACCCACATAACCCATAATTATGCCGTAGCTTCTGTTTATTGGACGTGGCAACACAAAACTGCTGACCAGATCAAGGGAGCCCATTTTGAAAAACACACTGTTTCTCATTACTTGGTCCAATCCTGCCTGGTATCCCATGAGCTTTTATGCAAAAAGAGCATCGGTAACTTCATTATGGCAACGTGACCTCTTCAAACAGGAAGTGGTGGGTATGGCAGCCAAGCAATTTTGGATGGTGTACGCTGTGATTGAATGGCCTTTGGCAACCAGTTTCATAATGAATGCCTTATGTTTTCAGCTGCTCTACACCTGTCCATATACCTGACTGGAAATGTAAACAGAAATTGAATAGGCTTCTGGGTTTCTAGAACAAGGCCTGATTGGGAGATGCTTTAATTGATGATTTACCTAGGGTGCTGTGGGGTTAGAATAGTCCTCTCCTGGCTATAAATTGAGTTTGTGGATTTGCACAATGCATTGCACCTAGAAATTACCAGTTAAATGTATTGTGCAAATTCACCCCATGTAGCGAAATAAGTAAACACAAACACAACATATTAGGCTCAGTTGTGGTTATTTGGTTTGTAGCTTAATGTATTGTGGAAGCTAATACGGTTAATTTAAGCTTCATTACAGTGTATAAATCCAGCCATGTTAACTCAGGAAACAGATTGTTAATCATGGCTAGTAAGTTGTGTGAACCCAGCCAGAGTAAAGGTGTAGAGATAGCGGACTTGTAGTCATTGCAAGCTCTGCCCCTTTTATACATGTGTGTGTGTGTGTGTGATATTGATGCATATGCAAGAGGAGTGAGGTTTGTATGGCAATGCTGCTTCCACCATCTTTTGGATCTCCCTCCTTGCAGATGGTCTTTGAAATATTCCCACTACTTGACTGCTCTAGCCTTTTGATCAAACCCTCATCATTTAAAGCCCATCTCATTCTATTTATGAGGTCTTGGGCAAACATTATATTTGAGTATATACACATTTGAAGCCTAGCAATTTTGCCTTTAGAGAAGCGATAAAATCTCTTGGGCAAAAAACCTGTAATTTCTTGAGAGAGCCTTTTTTTTTTCTTTTTAAATCTCTCTGCCTTTCCCATTTGTGTACTTGGTGTTTGTCACAAGGTTAAGGTGTTGGACTAGGAATGGAGGGAATCAAGTTCCAGTTCTCCCTCAGCCATTAGGTAACTTTGGGCCAGTCATTAGCACAATCTACGTTACTGGACTGTTGGGAGGGAAAGTCATGGAGGGAGAGCTATGTGTATAATGTTGAACTTTTAAATAAAAGGCAAGATATAAATCTAATAAACAAATGAAATAACCCTAAACTTCGTCAAATACTCTGGCATTTGGAAGCATGTTTTCATCAATACTCTGGGTCATCTTACAGTTTTAGAGAGGGGATAGATGTTACTGTCTGATACTGGGAACAGTGGATTAAATTTAATGGTGTTTGGGGTTAAATATCCAGAGAGATGCCACTGGAGCTTGTAGGAATCCTTACCACCTAGTTGTAATGGCTTGATCCCTGAATCCAGCTATATAGATCAGGCCATTGATCTTGATACACACTCAGAAGTACTGTTACTTTTATCTGTGGGGTTTAGAAGCTTATTGCTGAATGACAGTGTAGCATCTATCAATACTGAACTTACTTGCTGGGATTGCTAGGAGGTTTAGTGTAGTTTGGTTTGGTTTATGTAGGGAGACTATAAATTTGAATCCTCTCATTGATTTCTAATGAAGTGGTTCAGCCACATCAAGTAAGCTGGATTCACATGGCATTTAGTCTGACTGCCTAGTCAAAGCCAAAACCATTCTTCCCAAATCCGGTCCTTTCAGATGTGTGGGACTACAACACCCAAAATTCCCAAGTTGGGAAAGACTTTAGTTAACCTGTGGATCACTTAACAAAATAAAACAAAGTTAGATTATCCATTTTGCAATTTCACTATCAGAGCATTAAGAGAACAAACTGCAGCAGAAGTTTAAGGAGGAAGGAAGGAGTTAATAAGGCACTGGAGAGAAAAAGGAAAAGTATTCATATGGAACCAATTACAGCGGTATTATAAAGGATGTTCCCTCCAGAGGAAGCTAGCTAGCTAATGGAAGAGTTATCTTTCTGGAAATGCAACAACACACATCTTGAGCAGCTGGCAATGAACTGAAAACATTTTTAAACCCTTTTGTTAGAGATTAAGGGGAAAGAGTAACTAGTAAGATGGAGTTAACAAATTCTTCTAGAAAAATGGTTCTGAATGCAGCCCATTTTCTACCAGTGTTTCCAGATTTTGAACTGATGGTGGGGGGGGGGGAATTAAGAGATATTTACAGTGCTGCAGTTTTAATCTATCAGTATCTCCTTGGTTCTTTACTACTCAGTCCAGTGATTTTCAAGGTGTGTTATATTCAAATTAAAGAGCAGGCATGAGATATCTTTTTCATCAAAGCCAGTATTCTGCTACAGAATGCCAAAAGACCAGTTGAACCTGGCCTGGTAGCCTGAGTTCCTTATTTAATGGCCCTTTTCAAAGGGCAAAACTAATTGTGAGTGACTTATGTCCTAACTAGACCTGCATATTCCACTAATTATAGCAAAGGTTTTGTAAAGGCAGCAAACTTGCATTGTGCATGGAACAGAAAAATGGAAATCTAAACATCAAGTGGGCATTGAAAAAGTGAAATATTACCAGTCACTACTTAGCCTTTATATAGCATACCCCAAAACAGGAAATGCCATTGAGGATTTATTTGCCTAGGGATACATAATTGTGGGATGTAGGATCATCTGAGAGATGGATTTGTGATTGGAGTCTAGACTGCACAGTGATTTGTGTGCCTTTTATAGAGTTAGCAAATGTCACTTCATCTAACTTGGCTGAAAAATGAATAAGGGAGGAATCAATGATCATGGTATATGTTGGCATGAGTGTTGGGAAATGTCATGGAGAAGGCTGGATTGCTTGGATTTCAATGTAGCTAAAACAGACATAATCGAACCCTAGTGAAAGGGACGGAACCAGTGGAGATACAAATTATAGAGAGGGAGAGACAATTGGAATTAGTGTCATTTTGTAGGTCATAGAAGGTAGTGAGTCTACACAGAAATTATGGCATATGCTGTGACTTCAAGGCTTCAACTTACATTGCCCATTTGTGCCTGGGAACCAACCCTTCACAAAAAATATCAACATGGAAAGATTGCTACCTTAACACATTAAGAGTGGAATCCTATATATTTATTTCTATATGTAAGTGGATAGTATTTCAGCCTAAGACTGAAGTGCCATGCACTAGTATCTAGAAGCAACCTTTATTGCAAATAGAGGAAGTAAGTAAATATTCATAGCATCATAAATGGCTATTGAATTTCAATAGAGTAATGTTATGAATATTAACATTGTTGAAATTCTGTAACTATTTATGATGCTATTCTATATGAATTCATGTATATATTCAATTGTTTTGATTTCCTAACAAGGTTGACTCTTGTGACCTCCTACATAGGAATAAACCCCACTAAATTGAATAGTACTTATTTCTGAGCAGAAAGTTTTAGGATAAGGACATAAGAAAAGCCTGACTGCATCAATTTAAAGCACCATTTGATCCTGCATTCTGTATCATATACCAACTAGCCAAATGCATCCAAGTAGCTCAGAAGCATGGTATTGGAGGGTGATAGCCCTCTTCCACTATTACTCCCTAGGAATTGGTATTCAGGATTCTAAAAGTATTTAAAATTGCAGCCTTTCATATTCAATAGGAATGTCTGTAAATCAAAGATTCTTAAATGGTATCTGTTCAGATTAAGAGGTTGCAAAGATGTAATAGAGAAGGCTGGTTCTGCGTGGTAGTAATTTATGAAGCTGAATCTGATACCAATACATGCACAAATTTATTAGATGCTACCCCAAGGCCTGCCACTTGTTTCTGTGGGGATAAAAAGCTGAGGGTTCTAGATCAGGATCAAGCAAAATTTTGGTTAAGGTATGGGGGGACACTGTAGGCCATCCTGAGGATACAGTAAAATAGGCAAGGCCATGTGAGATACAGAGATAGGGACTAGGATCTCTGTTCTTGAATCTGGAATGCTTGGGGTTTCCTTTTGTTTTAAATCATTTATCAGTTAAGAGGATAACTTCACCAGTTTGCACAGAGTCAGTGAGTAAAAGACTGGAAAAGTCTCCAGTGTTGCAACCTATGAGATAAATCACATTCTCAGTTGAAAGCAGTCCAGTTGCTGAGATTATTGTAGTTTTCCCCCTATCCTCTTTCAATAAGTATTGTGACATAAAACCCTAGGAAAATCTTGCTTTCTATTGAAGTAGGTTATCAAGAACTTGGCATATAGTTAAAACTGTCTTAAATTAATTAGTTGGCTCTAGTACACATACCTATGCAATCTAAGTCAGATAACCATTCCATAGGTCACCTATGAACTTTCCGGAGCCCCCAGTCATGCTCTCAAAGTTCAGTGGCAAAACTATTCATTTTTGGTGGTACAAAATTGGATATGCCACACTCAGAGTTAAGGACATTGACAGCAACAGTAGCTGGCCGCTCAGGCTGCCTACTCCTCCCTATTTTCCTAGTACCTTCCTTTCCCTACATCCCCTTAGCTACTGCCAATAGTCTTGGGTTTTTCCCCCCCTCCCCCTGAAGCATTTCTAGCCAGACATAGACCACCCGGAACTAGCTATTTGTGCACAGAATAGTTTGTGCATAGAATGTTGCGTATCCCTATATTTTTGTATCTTTGACAGCTGACGTATAGGAGATTGGATATGGGTTGGCAGCAATCCCATGCCCACTTGTGGCATGCTCCGCCCTGGTTGGTGCATTTGTTTTCTTATTAGTCCCATATTAGATTGGGAATTCTAAAAGTAATGTGGAAGAAGAAGGCAATGGCAAACCACTTCCATATTGTTTCCTAGAAAACTGCATGGATATCCCCATGATGTCTTAAAGAGGCAAGTTTGAAGGAGGCTTTGCTTTAAACAAAAATGATTAAGATAC